TTCATTGTGATTCATGTCAAAATTACGCTAAATGAACTCTGTGACTCTACATTTTGATGTTATGAAATTGAAGTGTGTTAAAAATGTTTTTTTACTTTTTTAAACATTATCTATTTTGGTTATATAATAATATAAAATGAAAGAAATATATATAAAAAACTTTTTAAAACATGATTTTATTTATTATCTTAAATTCAATGATTCTTTTTAGAATTCATACATTTTTAAAAGTCACTCATTTTCTATTATATTTCAACTGGCATTCAGAAATAACTATAGAGTTTCGAACGTTACCTTAAAAAAGTAACGCATTACCATTATTTTTTATAAAAAGTAATTTGTTACTGCATGTGCGTTATTCGTTACTCGTTTTAAAAAGTAATGCTGTTATTGTTACTTAAAAAGTATAATATGATTCGTTATTTTATCAAAATAAATTATTAGATTTTAGATTGCATTATTTGATAATTAATATCAAATGTAACAAAATTATAACTTGAAATTGTTTAAAATAGTCCATATATGGAGCAATTTATTTTTATATTAAATTTATCTAATAATTTTTAAATAATGGCTAAATTCGTTACAGCCCTGTTGGAAAAACTTTCATAAAATTAACAGGTGTTCCAATTCTAGCATTTTTTTGTACATTTTGTAGGTAAATTTACAAAAAAAATGCTAGAATTGGAACAAATTGAAAAAAAATTAACGAAGACAGTAACGGTGTTACAATTGTAAGGCGTGGAGAGGAAAATTGAATTGGCGCCTTATACCTTGAAAGGAGAAGGAATTTCCTTGTAAGAAAGGAACGAGATCCGAAGGGAACGATATGTCGGCTTTCAGGATCGTAAGGATAATCTGAGTGTCAGGACAGGATTATCTGCACGAGCTAAGGAATAGCGTAAGGAAGGGCGAAGAAATAGCCTCTTGTACTTGGTATATAATCACACAAGGTTTTATTCCGACTTCACGTGTCGTGGTTCAAACAGCACTTATTGAATTAACTTAACTTCCTGTGCATCTCCTTGCACACTTACGCACCCTGTTGGGCATACTACGCCAATCACGTCGCACGAGCGAGCGAACGCCAATCCGCATCTATCACGTGGTCTGAAGGACCAATAGCAAACATCGCACGTTGTACGCATGCGCATTACTAACAGCTACACCATTTAGAACTAGCGCGCCAAGGACGGGAACCTAACCTTATCCTATTAATCTCTTACACAATAATGTGTCACTTCCCAATTCTGAACATAATGATTCACAAGATTAATAGTAAGAAGTAAATGTTACCCCGGATCTACAATAGGTGTTTTAAGCCTTAAGCCATAAGAAATTAACCAATTACTCCGGATCTACAATAGGTGTTTTAAGCCTTAAGTCGTAAGAAATTGACCAATTACAGTCGAATCTGAGAAGAATAAGCGACTGTGATTCGCCCATTTCTTATGGCTTAAGGCTTAAAACCCTATTGTAGATCCGGACTTACAGTCGAATCCGAGAAGAATAAACGACTGTGATTCGCCCATTTCTTATGGCTTAAGGCTTAAAACCCTATTGTAGATCCGGACTTACAGTCGAATCCGAGAAGAATAAACGACTGTGATTCGCCCATTTCTTATGGCTTAAGACTTAAAACCCTATTGTAGATCCGGACTTATATAAATGATCTTGTTAACGCGCGATATATTATTAGAAATAAAAATCTGAATTTTCATTTACAAATTCTTTTTTCATGCACCGACACAATACTTTTCTACCGTTGTTTTCTTTTTAAACTTTTTAGTTTTTATGATTAATCGCTTCGTAGAACACATCTCATTCTTCATTTATTCAATATCACATTTAATTTATTTAGGTTTGCAAGCTCGTATTTCAGATAGATGATTGTTTGTGAAGCTTCATCAATTTGGACTCTCACTTGATCGATGATTGATTTATTATTTGCAGTATTACAAAGAGTTTTTGGATTGCATTGATCTCTCGAATTTTTTAAAGGTTGATCTATTTTGCACTAAGAAAAACAGTTATGTCAAAAAAACTTAATACAAAATATAACTATTTCATAACAAATATACATATATGTACATTTACAAATGAAATATGAAATAATTAATGACAATTAAACTAACCTATGTGTGTGATCTACGTAATCCTTTATTTTGTCATCTTTGTATATTGCGAAATACTTCCTGGTAAAATAGAAACATAATCATGTTACAAAAATACATAACATTATTGTAATAATACATTCAATAAAATTATAAAACTAATTGTATACAATATATCGTTTACCTTCTTGTGTAACATTTTTAATTGCCTTATTTAATCGCTATATTATTTAACAAGGAAACACAAAAACATTAACACTTACTTAATCTCATCCGGAGTTCATGATTCTTACAATGGAGTAAATAGTTTGACTGGTCAGCTGGTCAACTGGAACGGGCTTAATATGGCGGTGCTTAATATGTGCTAAAAGTAGTAGTGGGGGATGAATGTCGCTTCTCCATGGTGGAAGAATAACATGGGGCGTTTTCCAGCAAGGACATAGTGTAACACAGTGAATCATTTCATCCTTGTTTAACGTTGGCAAACAACGAGAATGTAATGATTCACCATGTTACACTGTGTCATTGTTGGAAAACGCCTATGGTGTGCACAATCACGGTTGCCAGGTTTTGACTGGAGACTCCAGTTTTTGGGACCAATCTCTAGTTCTCCAGCAGATGGGGAAAATCTCCAGTTTTTCGCTCGCGTGGAGTATTTATTAATTGCATATTTAAATTACGTGGAAAGTAATAAGGAAGTCTATGATTATGTTCGGAGTTTATGTTATTTTACGAATAATAAAAAAGTTTGTAATTGTGTTCGCACTATATGTAATCTTGTAATAATAATAAAAAGGTCTCTGTGATTGACACTTTATGTTGATCAAATATTAATAACAAAAAGAAAGTCTGTAACAATAGTCGCAAAATACGAATTAACCCTGCGCCTTTTTTTCTCTCTCTTTTTTTTAATGAAACAATCGGCTGGCCTCCAGTCGAAATATGAAATCTCCTGCGCATGGACCTTCGGGTCCCAGCTGTATAGTGTTCGGGATCTGGCAACCGTGTGCACAGTTTGCAACCTTCCTTCTCTGAATCTCCGACCTCTCTATCTATGAATGTCGATAAGAGCCTAAGAGCTGCCAACTGTGAAACGCTAAACATGGGGCGATATTCATATAGTCCGTTTTTATTTTAAAACTATCTTAAATAATGTCTTAAGATGCTAATACAGTTCTCGGATTGACTTATGACATCTTAAGATTGTACTTAAGACAGTCTCAAAAGCAAGAATCGATCATGAATACCGCGACCTGTTTCGTGTCATGAAATTGGTACTGAACTTTCCTTGTTTAACACACTTTATGTTCCTTTTTCTATAGAAAGAGAATCTAAGATACATTATAATGTGTGTCAAATAAGGAAAGAAGGCTTTTATCGACATTCATAGATAGAGAGGTCGGAGATTCAGAGAAGGAAGGTTACAAATTGTGCACACCATGCTATCCCTTCCACCATATGCTTCTCTCATATATAGGACTGTACTACACATCTGTACTTAGTCGAAGACTATGTAAGTGTGTGTTTTCTAGTGACAATTATATGTTACTAACTGCGGCGGCTTTAAATGGGGTTGGAAGACGTTGAGTGGCCGGCACTTTTACTTTTTTTTGTTTAATAAGGCGGAAAAAGCTACATTTAATCTAACTCTATCCGAAGCGGATTTCAACCCAGCGTACACATTCTGTTCCAACTGAATCGTGCACAACGTTACACTTTGTGCATTCCTGTGTACGTTTATGTTAAGATGATTAAGCAATTGGAAAGCACCCATTATAGAACTTTTATTTACTATCTCCTAAATCAATGTTGTCGCCCACTTAATTCTTGGGGGGAATCTCGCTCAGGACACTCTCCCTTACAACATATCTAAAAGATATCGAAACCGGTGAGATGTCACTTAAAACCACTGAACTATATAACACTAGAATGGGCATTGAGGAAAATTCATGGCCGCTATTGATCAGCCGCCATTTTGATTTGAGGTGGTATTAAGCGAATCAGAAGCGTTCGCGCGCGCGTTGCGATCGATGTATCGATCGATGTACTATTGATGTATGGAAATCTATATGGACATGAATGGTACATAGTAAACAAAAATAATGTCACTTCAATTATTTTTACCTATGAAATGAAAGGCCCTTTTTACTTCTCTGCCCACACCCAGGCACACAGCACTTCATGTTGATGCTTTGTAGACAGTCACGCGATTTTATAATCCTTCAAATATAATCTCACACACGATAATCTTGCTGACATATGCGTCTTACTTCTTCTTCGCGTGAGAATATGCAGAATACGAAAGTCTAAAAGAATAACATAAACTCAATTGCGTGTTTGAAGCCGGTCACATTTTCCAAAAATGATGACGCAATAACACGTCCGATCACGCCGGTAGATGATTACCAACGATCACCGTTCCATATGCCATAAGATAAATTTTCACGAGCTGCTCTAACCGGCTATTTTAGCGACAAAAAGGATCACGTGATCAAAATGGACATTTGATATTCGTCAATTTTGACCACGTGATTCTGTTTGTCGCTGAAACAACCGGTTTGAGCAGCCCGTGAAAATTTACCTATATGCGTCTTACTAAAGAACACTAAACGTAAGTGCTCATGAGCACCTGAAAGCTCCTGATTCACTCAATACCACCTTAAATCAAAATGGCGGCTGATCAATAGCGGCCACGATTTTCTATGCATCACAGCATAGAAAATAGAAGATGCTTATTTCAGTGTTATATAGTTCAGTGTCTAAAATGGATATTTACCATTCCAACAAATACAAAAATGTATTTAAGTACGTATTTTAAATATATGTATTTCAAATACTGTCCACTCCTGATGGTTATGATTTTATGTTCTCATAGGATATGTGCTTCATATCTCTAAATATTCCATGAGTATTGAGAAATAAGACACAGAATAGTAATGAATACACTGATATTATTTAAATCCGCGTATATTCACAGTATAAATACAATTAGACCTTAATTTATGTTCTTAACATATGTACCTAACTCTAGAATATTAACAAATCATTCGTTCGTTGAGAGATCCGATCGATAGACAAATTATATTTCCATAATTTATTTTTGTACAGACACGTACAATCACATCGGGGTAATATTACGGCTGGTGTTTTTTTTATATCTATCTTACTCTGTAGAAAATCGTTATAGAAGCATGTGCTAAAATATGCATAAAGTAATTACGTAATAACCCATGTTTCATCGCCGATATGATACAGAAGACGTTCGATTGACTTCGCGCAAAGAACGGACATATCCGAAATGAATCGTCAGAAAATTAACTGCATAGAGAACTTGCGGCAGTACTCTCTCGTAGAGATACTTCCATAATTTTTACAGCTCCGAGAACCGGTTCGTTACGTTGCCTTTCATTAGACATTTCAAGCGTGCCTGACATAGCCGTCCTTACTATGCGGCAGACCACTGTTGGCTAATTAAACAACACGGTACATCTATCCCACAACGGCGAAATTTCCCTCGTGTTCCTCCCGGATCTTTTTATACAACAATAATGAATTTCTAATCTTATAAAAATTTTAAAAAGTTACAATATCGCTTTAACAAATTGAGTTATGACAGGAGCTTCTTCCTTGAGGCCAAGAAAATTTATAAAATTTAGAAAATTTATACAAATTACACGCACATTAAAATACTTGGATTGGCTTGATGAAATGCCCGAATCGCCCGTCAACGAAAACGGTGGCCTTCCATCAACACCACGAATCCACGTGGGGAATCTCAGTTGGGATTCTCACGATTCACATTTGGTACTTGCATATGCACAATTTCAACCAATCGACAATGGTAACTTCAATTATTTGTATAAAAACGATGAAAAAATATTATCATATTGGGTGGAGTAATAAATAACTTCGCATTTATAGATGACATTAAATTCTAAAAATACGAAGTTATTTTTTACTCAATCCAATATATAAATGTCGCGTGTTATCTACTGCTAATTTATCAAGCGTTGAAAAAAGTTAAATTAGATTCATAGTGTTTACATCGCCACGTATCCCGTTTTCTAAGATTTTCTTCTCTCTCTACTTATCTCTTACTCTGAGTTTCTTTAACGAGCATTCGATTAAGCCACCGTTAAAAGTACTGATCGACTGCCATGAGCCTGTTTTTGGGTTCGTTAATTATATCACAAAACGCGAACGTTGCGTTGAATAAACTACTTCCCTTAAGAGTAATTTCAGTTATTTTTGCTCCCCCCTAGATTAATACTGTTACATAGTAAAATGCTTCCGTTACAAAAAATGCAAATACAGGTGCTTTTTTCTAAAAAGATAGACAAGGTAAAACCACAATTATAAAAAATATGTCGCAAAATTGTGCGCCAATTTAGTATACAAATCTTTCTTTATACTACAATAGAATTTCAGACTATATTGTAAATATTTTTATTGAGATTTAAATGAGCAACGGATGATGTAAATGTTAAGTTATGCAGGCTTTGCGGTCGTTTTATCGAGCTGGCGACAGAGTCATTATGATTACTAGTATTATTTTAACGTTATAACGTAGAAATAAAAATAAGCGATAATTACGAATTTCCTCGTTACATAAAAATATTGTCGTATAAAAATGTCCATACAGTATATGAGATATCTTCGTTAAGAATACCGAAGGAATGATGTATTATCGCTTTGTAACGGAAAAGTTACTTGTTCACAAAATGTAATTTTTACAAATATATCGTGTAATATCGGAATAATTTCGAATCGCAACATCTACGTATGTATCTATGATTCTCGAGATGAAATATATTTACAACCACGTACATAAATAAATGCGAAATCCGCCGCCTGATTCACAGAAATGATTGTAAACATGCTTGGAACAATGAAAGTGTGTGCCGAACTATATTGACGAGCAGCTTCAACGAATCGTCAATTCGTCATCAGCACTTATCTTATGCGTATTTACAAATGCGTTTGCTAGTGACGAATTCCTTCTCGCGTCATCTCGAAGTATCGTCTACGGAACAAATTCTCTCACTTACTCTAGCGAGTATTAATGCAAATATCGTTATACAAATCCGTATACACACATATGTATTTATACAAGTAAAAAACACCTATAAACCAAATACCTAACTATGTAAGGAAGACTGTTACTCAATTCGAAATAGCAAAAATTCGATCTACACTGGAAGATCATTGATGTGGAATGTCGCTCTTTTTTATCTTCCTCTCTCTTGGATATTGATTTACCGTATCGCATGTTCTCCTGCTCATTAATGTTCCAATGCGTGTAAAATCATCACAGCAATGAGTTTAGGACGGAAATAGGATGTATTCCAATAGATTAAGCTGAACTCAAAAGCTCTCTGCAACAACAAAGGTGAAATAGCAGGGGGATAAGTGTATGTAGTTCGGATCTATAATAGGTTTTTAAGCTATAAGAAATGGATGAATCATTGCGTTTCGTTATTCATTGTCAGTACTGGCAGCATTGCACATACTGTTCCAATATATGTCGCAGTCGCAGTACACTTCCAATATACTTTTCCATCTATGACGTCATAAATTTTTGCGTCACTTCCTACTTCTATTACTGCGGCTGGCGAGATCAGGCAATTGTAGTAAAAAGATGGCGAAATCCAACGAAATGGAAAATCCGGAAAAAATGTATTTTTTAGATGTCGAAACGAATGAAAGTTATGAAATATTAATGAATAAAAAAGATGCAGAAAAGGCACGTAAAGGTATGTATGGTATATAATTAAAATTGCAAATTATATATATATTATGGTACTATAAGTATTACTAAGGGCCACTTTCACCAAGCTCAATTAACTTAACCAGTCTACTAACTGTAATGAAATAGAAAGAGATAGAAATAGTTCTATCTCTTTCTATTTCATTACAGTTACTAAGCTAGTTAAGTAAACCGACGATGGTGAAAGTGGCCCTAAATCCGTTTCGTTAATCGTTATGCAACGTCATATAAAAGTACTATTAGTAATTTCAGAACGCTTCTGCAATACTACTTTATGACGTCATGTTGCCAGTACTGACAGTGAATAACGAAACGTAGCCATAGTCAATTATTCTTCTCGCATTCAATTATAGTTGGTCAATTTCTTACTTGAGACTTAAAACACCTATTGTAGATCCCGACTTAAGAAGCCTAGTGTCAATAAAGACAAGCAAATAAACAGGAAGTACGCAAAGTCAATTATGGTGCTTAATACTTTCAGAAAAAATTGTTTAATTTTATCATTAAAGATTACCTCAATAAACATTATTACAAATCGTTGTGTATTTTTCGTAAACATGCGAAAAATTATTATTCGTACATACATACAGGGTAAGGAAAAAATATGGAAACCCTGAAAAATCTCAAAAAATATAAGTTTTACAGAAAAATGTTTCAAATAAAAGTTGTAGGATTTAAAAAAGTCTATTCA